GCCGGCAGGTGGGGGCCCTGCGCACGGGGGAGGCCGGGACGGTGGAGGCTTGAGCCCCGGGCCTCAAGCGCAGCCGCTCGCACAGCGACGGGGGCGCCTCGACCTCGCTGTCGCTGTCGCTGCTGAGCAGCGAGATGGGCCCGGGGCGGCCCGGCGGCCCGAGGAAGGCGCAGGCGGGCGGCAGCACCTCATTCTCGCTCTCGTCCGAGCCCATGGACATGGCGACCCGGCGCCGCTTCAATCTCCCGCCCGGCCTCGCCTCGTCCCGCCCCTGCCGGAAGCGGAAGTGGCGCGCGCCGGAAGCGGCAGCGTGGGGACAAGATGGCGGCGCTGGGGCGGCTGGGGCTGGCTGGGGCGAGCCGGCTGCGTGAGTAGGGGCGGGGCTCGGGTAGTACGGCGCGCGGCGAGGGTCACGTGCTGCCCGGGGGGGCCGGCGTCTCCTGCCCCATCGACTGCTCTGTGCTCCACTCCCTGACCCACCGGCTGCTCTCCTTTCTGCTCCCTGTCCCATCGACTGCTCTGCGTGCTGCTTCCTCTCCTGCATCTCCTGCCCCATAGGCTGCTCTGCGCTCTACTCTTTGTCCTGTCTCATCAATTGTTCCGTGTTCTGCTTCCTCTCCTGCATCTCCTGCCCTGTGCTCCTCATCCTGCCCAGTCGGCTGATCTGCTTTCCACTCCCTGCCGTGCACCTCCTGCCCCGGGTCAGATGCCCCCGAGGCGGAGCGCGCTGCGACGGGCAGACGGAGCGGGGAAAAGCCCCCAGCAAGGCTGGACCAGGCCAGGGGAACGGACCTGCCCATGTGGTGCTGCCTGGCACCAGTCTCCAAGGCTAAACCAGACTTGCTGTTGGTTTCCCCCCTGCATCTCCGAACACTGGGGGCACCGGCTGCTTCCAGCCCCAGGGCAGACCTGGCTGAGGCCACGGTGATCTGACTCAGGTTAGGGACCAGGACACGTGCCTGGTTGTGCACCTGGCTTCAGTGGGGCGGCATTGCCTGGACGCTCAGCGTAGCTGACACCTGGTTTCCACCCCAAACTCTTCACAACAGGCCACACTGCTGTTACCCTGTGACTGCTGTGGCGCTTAGTCTGGGACAGATGAGGTGGCTGGAAGCCAGGCCAGTGACCTGCTGCCTCGTGTGATCTGTGTTCGGTGCCGTTCAGTTTTCACATGGAGCCTGAGGGTCTGGCTTTAACCAGAGTAAAGGAAACAAAGCTGAAATGGAGCAGAAAGCAGAGCAGGGTGGCAACCTTGTAGACTAGCTCTGGAGCAGCCACGTGGCACAGGCAGCCTCTGTGTGTGGCATGCGGCAGACCAGGGCAAGACCTAGTAGCATAAGGGTAAATAGGGCAAGGAGAAAAAGCTTAAATAACAGCAGATCAGGTTGGGGAGCACAGAACAGGGAGCAGAAAGCAGAGCAGACTGGCTTAGGGGTACAGGGCACGGGACAGAAAGCTGAGCAGCCGATCTGGCAGGGGAAGGGGGTGGGAGTGGCACTCAAGGGCTGTGTGGGATTAATTTGTGGCATGCCTGCCAAAAAGATTGGCTCTCCGCTGAAATGCCTTGTTCAGAGAGGCAGGAGTATTCGTGGGCTACAGCCTATTTTATGAAACGGTTTTGGCATTTTCTCATTTGAGAAGCTGGGGCTGGCACAGAGGCAATAAGGAGTGGGAGCCTAAGCATAACACGTAGAGCACGGCAGAGGCATTTTCCGCACGGAGCTCAGGATCTTGAAGTGCTGCCTCTGATTTCCAGGGAAGCTTTTAGCAAGTTGCATAATTGTTGTGCCTTGATTTCTCCGTCCATAATACGTAGATAATGCTTTCCTACCTCTTTTAGTGCTGCAAGCCTTAATTGCTGTTTGTAAAGGGATTTGCCATCTACTTGGAAATAAAAAAATACCTTGGAGAGCAAAGAGAGGTATTTTCTTAGGGATTACATTCGTCTGCAGAAAGGTCTGCAAATCTCATTACTACTTTTTCCTACCTCCCTGCTATTTACCCAAGTCACAGCCATTTTACTTAACATATTCTAAACATGTTAGATGAATGGCACCCTTAATCTTTGTGAGGTGCTGAGTATCTGTAATCATTTAATTAATATAAAATTAATCTAGAGCTTTTCTGGGAATAAGGGAAATGAGACCACTCTGTAGCAGCATATAGAAAGCTGAATGGAGGGATTTAAAAGAAAGGAATACAGTTGCTGACCAGATGGAAAAGACTTAATTCGATCTGGGGCATTTCTGACACAGCAGAGTTCATAACAGGGTCAGAGATCTTGATCTGAGAAAACTGTTACTGACTGGATTTTGTATATATGATTTTAAATGGCATAACTGTGATGTGAAGGCACATTTGGGGTTTCAAAGAGAGTAAAAGACTAACCACTTACTGCAGCTATCTTTTTTTCTAACTGTGGTTAAAAACCCTGATATGAAACTCCAAGAAAGCACATTAAAATGTGCTATAATTAACTCCTTTTTGAGGCAGCAGTGGAATACAGGCTTGTATGCCTCCCTCAGCTTGGGTCTTCATTCAACTTTGCATTTTAAAGGTACTTATCCCAGACTGCTAAAGCATTTTACAGTAAAACCAATGACACAGGGTGAGGAAACCAAGCACAGAATGCTTGCCACATGCTCACAGAGCAATTTAGTGCAAGATAAACTCCCAAGAGTCCTGAATCCCAGTGCTCAGGTCATTAGATTAAATTGATGGTTGATTTCTCTAACTGCATCTGGAGCCCAGGAATTTAAAATGCTAGAACAAGTGTTACTATTTGTGCTTCCAAGTGTACTACTGAGAATTCTGCTCTTTCATAAAGGACGGGGGCCATGTGGCTTGGTTCCATGCAGAAGAGAGGTACACGAGGGGGTAGACTTCATAATAGATTTCCTCTTCAGTTTTTTACTGCCTTTGTCTCTATGTTGAACTGACAAACCAGAGCTTTCCTTGTTTGCATTTCAAAGGGAATGCATTCATGTTTTGGAATTAGAATTTCTGGATGCATTTTGAATGTGCAGTGGAAATTCTTAACTGGGTTTTCTCTACATATTCTTCATCCAAATCTAGTTGTGCCTGCTCCCCAGGTGAGCACAGTTGCAGCAAGATGTGCATCCAAGAAAACCAAGAGCAACCCAAAAAACAAGGGTGGTCAGAGAGTTGGAAAACGGTATGGATGGAAGAAACATGATGGTAGGTCCATCTGTTTGCTTAGCTGCTTTCAGCTTGCGTTCTGCCAGTTAACTCCTTGCCAGGGAGTGCTCATGGGGACACTACTGAGCTTTGGTGGCAGGGGGGCGTTCATTCCTTGCGAGAGAAAGAAACCAGAGGGTTCAGCACTACATGGTGCACAACAATTACAGGAATAGCCAGCAGGAGGCTGGAGTGAGTCAAGCTAACTCCCGGTCTGCCTACATACAGCAAACTGAAGTTGCCAATAAAAAGCATACTTTGGTTGCAACTTAACCTGCCTCCAGGGGAGCTGGGAGGAGGGATACAACAGGGGGCATCTGATAAGTGAAGTGCACTTTCACCTCCCACTGTGCATGGAAGCTGGGCACTTCACATAGTTACAAAGGGGAGAATTATGAGGCTTAATAGAAGCCAAAGTACAGCTTCTTGTAAATGAGTGCCTAATAATTAATGGGCTTGCTGATGAAAACATGCGGATGTGAAAGGCAATAAAACAAGCGCCTGCAACAAACAGGCAATGCCTTGTGCCCTAGAACTAATCTTTTCAAAGATAAGAATTGCTTTTTGCCACTGTGGAACCACTGCCTTCTAGCTTCTGTTAGCAGCGTTGTCTTAGGCTTAGGAAACCTCTCAAAGTGTCTGGAGTCCTGCCAGCCCCAGGGCTTCAGGGAAGCGTATTTGTTTGAATCTAGGTTGCTTTGTTGCAGGTGACTATGTTCACGCAGGGAACATCTTGGCCACGCAGCGGTTGATTCGCTGGCATCCAGGGGCTCAGGTAAGTTGCATTTTCAGCCCTTGTTCTCATCTCATGGTAGGGGCTGTCCACAGCAAAGCCCTAGAGTTGAGGTTTAGCTCATTTCCTGCTCTTTACCAAGGTGGCTTGTTTCTTCCCTTCCATTCTGTGTCAGGGATGGTTCATTAACAAGTATTACTTAGTAGAAGAGTCCATTTACAACCGTTATTCCACACAAGGCCTTTAGTCAAGGGAAGGAATTTTGTTCATTAGTGGCTTTTAAGGGTTTGCCCCTCTACCTGAAGGACAAACTCTTTAGGCTTAAAGCTACAGAAGAGCCACTTTCAAAGCTGAGGCTAGAATTCAGGAGTGTGTATCTGAAGGGTTTGCCCCCTTACTTACTAATGGCTATTGAACAGAATGCTTGGAGAGGTTTCCTCTGGTATCTCTAAACCTGTGGTTTTCAACCTTTTTTCATTTGTGAACCCCTTTGGAAATTTTGAGTGGAGGTGTGGACCCCTTTGAATTGTCATTTGAATTGAGGGTATTCACATACTTTTGATCGTAGTCATCTTTCACAGACTCCTTGGACATAGTCTGCAGATTACAGGCTGAAAACCACTGCTCCAAACCAATAATGGTGCATGCAAGGGAAGGTACTGAATAGGGAACAGATCACTCTAGATGCATCTGGTTCAGTGTTCCCTCTATATTATCTACTTCTGCCACTGGCAGAGACCAGATGCTGGGCTAGACTAGATGAACCATTGGTCTGATGCAGTATGGCACTTATGTTCTTAAAGGTAATCAATACTTATGCTTCAGGGGAAGAAGTCCCTCCTCTGGCCTCTCAATTCAGACACACTATGTAGCTTTATGCGTGGTACTCTGGGCTTCTTACTTTCCTTAGAAGAATCAAGTATTGGCCATCACCGAAGCCTGGATAACCATCTACAGGGGACAACAATGTGAGCCACTTCAGCATATGTTCTCCAGTGACTATCTGTCTACCGCTTTCTCCTTCCAGTGTTCTACCCATATGCTTTCTTCCAGGTGGGAATGGGCCATAACAAGACTCTGTATGCTCTGGAGGACGGGATCGTGCGATACACCAAGGAGGTTTATGTGCCGCCCCCACGCAGCCGTGAGGTCAAGGAGGTGATCCGTCGCCTACCCAGGGGGGCCATTCTTTACAAAACCTTCATCAACGTCATCCCTACTGAAGAAGTAGGCAGCTTCAAGCTAGTCACCATGCTCTGAGACTGCTGCCTTGCATTGCTGCTGGGGACAGAGCACTGTGGCAAAGCTGGTGCCCAGTCCTGGATGTCTGGAGTCTTAGGAAAGGATTGTCCTAGACTTTTAAGAGACTTGCAGACTTCACTTCTTCGATTCAGGACTGGTTTGGGTGCAGGTCTGAGCTAGAAGGTGACAGGCTGCCTGATGATGCTTGTTGGAATATATCTAATAAAGATGATGGATTTTCTAATGCCTGGAGGGTGTCTATGAAAGAAAAGCAGTCTGTGTTCATGTTGTAAAGCCAGAGGGGCAAGTGAGAATATCTTCCCATTCCTGTGAGCCCTGTTCCAGTCCAGCTGGAAATACTGCAGTATCTACAGAGGAATTAGCCACTGTTGGGCACCGGCAGTTTGGGTATCAAAGTATTCCTCTGACTTCTCTTGTCACGACTGAAAGGGGAAGAGCTGGCCCAGTACAGTCAACTTCTGAATTCTAGTCTCAGCTTTGACAGTGGCTCTGCTGTAGCTTTAAGCCTCAGTTCTGTCTTAGTTTCCCCACTTATAAAAGAGGGGGCAGTGCTGACAACATCCTCCAGTGTGTCACAAACATGAAAATTCACAATCCCTCCGTGAGGAAGGAGTGTGGCTGATTTCCCTGTTACTTGGGGAAACGGAGGCACCTGCCACAATCTCTGGAGGGAGGCAGAGCCAGGAATAGAGATCAGGAGTTCCTGACTCTCAGTCAGAGCTACCTACTGAATCCCCATTTTCTCTCCCTGTGCTTCTGAGAATGAAAAAATGGCAGCAGGTGCAAAGGTGTTGGGCACCCAACACCACAGTTAACTGATGAGGCATAGCAGAAGAAGGTGCCTCCCTCATTTTTGGCCAGTCAGTGAGGGAAAGTCCAGGGAACATGCTTCTTTGAGTTGGCAAAGATGCTAATCTAATACAGAAGTGTGTCTTGAGCAGGCAGCAGTGTTAGACCAGGTATGAAAGGGAACTATGACTCCAGTGCTTCCCTAAATTGTTACTGAGCTTTTGATATTTTCAGTTCTGGCCATGTCAGTTCCTGCCACAGTAATAAAGGGAAGCTGCCAGGATGATTTGGGTCAAAAATAGAACATTGCTGGAAAGTACACACAAGTTTCTCCAGAATATGCATCCTTCCAGTGTGTGCAACCTACATGCTGCAGCATTGTGCAAGGCCAAGAGACCTCCTAGGGCATAAAATGTTTAATTTTAAATAGTTCATCATGTTAAATTTCCCTTATTAAAACCGTTGACTCCCAAATTTTTAAGAGAAACCCTTGCATAGTACCACATTCATTAGTAAAAATGAAAGTCCTGCTTAGACTTTCATTCTCTTTCTTTGCACAATAAAACAGGATTGACAGGTTTGTATTCAATTCCCAGCCAGTTTTCCTTCCTGAATCTCAGGCATTGGAGCACTATACTTTTGGGTTCAAAATACTGCAGAAGATGAGTCCCTTCCCACTCTGAAGGGCTTTCAAGAAAAACTGTGAAAATCTGCTCACTGGAAACTCAGCTGAGAATCTGAAGTACCTGACAATGGCCTGCTAACTTACCAGAGTGGGCAGGGTCACTCTTCCAAAGCTATTATCATGCCTAACTGTAGAATTCCCAACTAGACAAAGAAGTCTGAAATGGCATCCGAAACTCATCAGCTGAAGGGTGGAGAGCAGCTTCCCAAAGTGAAACTCAAACACAGGGTACTTAAGTCCTTCAAGAATCCTGCTGAAAAAAAAAAAAAGACTCAAGATACTTTGTGGTCCGACCAGTCCCATTTTATCAACAGTGTTGTAAACAGCATTGTAAACATTTGTTCTGAAATACAAAACAATAGGCAAAAATCTGAGGTGCAGCTGCACCATCCTTGGTGTGATTGATTGTCAAGGAAACTAAGACTCTTCTCCTTGTAGAGGGGAACTGAGTAAACACAGGTCTTGATCTGCCTGTGTTCTGCCCTTGCACCTTCATGGAGGCTACCTGTTACCCGTTTGTTTCTGTGTTCTGGGACACCCAGATTAGGCCGGTCTCTGTCCTTGCTTACGGGGTTCCCAGAATGATCCTGACCCTTGCTGAACCTTTACCTTGTCAATGGAGACGAGACTTTCTCTACGCAGCATTTTTAAATCCCGCAGGAATGTGCGTGTGTGGGGCACAAAGCAGAGGTTTGACAGTAGCAGTTGCGGTGCTGATTCTTCAGTGGCAAATTGGGCCTCTGACCCTGGTACCTGCTAACTTGATTGTTTTTACAACGTAATAAACAGATGAGATAAATCATCCAGCTTCTGAGGTCTTAATACTTTCAGTGTTGGGCAATACCTGCCACAGAGGTGTATGGGACACAGTAGAAGAGCTGCCTGCTGTTCCTCCATGAATTTTCTTTGACCAAGTAGACCATCCTCTGTGCTTTAACCCCTTGAACATAGAGATAGTGGCTGGGGATCATTCTACTGGCTGTGGTCAAGATAAAGTCAATAGAGCAAGGAGGGAGCAGCAGTCCACAGTGGCTTGTTCCATAGTTTCTGGAGCAGAGATTGCTGTGTTGAAATCCCCTAGGGTCATACCACCTTTCCAAGAGCAAGGGTAGATGGAAAGAAAATTAGTTGGAGGTCTCTGCTGGTTTGGTCTGGTTTGCACGCTTGTTTCTCAGCTGTTTTGGGTCTGGGTGAAGGCCTGAGGGTCGACATTGCCCTGCAGGAGGGAGCAATGTCACAGTGCCACCGTTGCTGCTACAGCAGGAAAAAGCGCTACCAAGGCTGACTCCAGCTTTACACGGCTGTATTGCGTTGCGGTTGGTAGCTGACTGAGACCTGGAATATGTCTGCCAAGCTGTGTCTGTCTGTTAATTCAGAGCCAGCCTCACTTCCTGGCAAAGCTGGGGGGTGCCGGAGGGCCTGCTCGTAGGGAGGGGGCATCTATGAGAGAGGAGAGGAGCAAGCCTGTTACACCTGACCACAAATCAATGGTGGTAAAGATTATCCCCCATTACACAATGTGTGTTTAAAGGAGCCCTTTCACACTATCATCACCTCTGCAATTTAGCACTTGTAATCCTCACCACAATGCTGTGAGCTGAGTGCATGGGGCTGCTGGAAACCTTGCCTGATCCAAGGTGTTCAGGTAGAAACCAATGCAGCACCTGCTGCCCAGCCCAGCCCAACCACTCCTACCACAACGCATCATCGCATCTCCCTCTCCCTTTCGTTCCTGGCCAGAGCTTCTCTTGTTCCCTTTCAGGGGCCTGTTGACATTTGCTAGAAACCACAAGGTTTCCAGTTAAACTTCCCCAGATGGATAGGATTAGTTCTTACATATGTCTCACCCGAGTATCCGTTTCTGTGCACTTCCTGCCAGCTGCTGCTTATGTAAGCTTGACCTATCCAACCCGTTTTCTCTGCTGTGGATGTGTGCGCACTGCGGGCAGGAGGGAGGACTGTGATGCGAGAGAGGGACGCTCCATCTCCCTGCTAGCACAGGTAAGAGCAACAGTGCTGGGGGTGGCTACCCCGTCCTTGCCAGGCTTGGCCAGCTCCTGCTGAATTCATGCCACCGTGTCTATTTTGCTACTATGACCCATGCTAGTGAGATGAGAGCCAGCTGGGGTCTAACTACCCCACCAGAGGACAGTCACTGAGGGGCAAAACCTCAGAAGGCAGTTAGGTGCCCAGTGCCCCTTGGTGGAGGAGCAGCACCTTCCCCAACTGGTGCCTCAGGTTTCCCAGCTCAGTCTTTTGAGAGTCAATTAATTCCTGCTGCCTCTAAGGCCCTTTGCATGTGAAAAGTGCCTAGGGGAGGAAGTGCTAAGTATTTGGCTGGCTGCGCTCAGTTTTCTGGAGCAGGTTTAAGAGCTGGAGTCCCCTGTGGTGGTCAGTGAGGGGAAATCTGCTGGGCTGAGCTTCACAGAAATCCCTTGTGCCCAGGGCAGAAGGCAGAGGGATGTACAGCATACTGCTCCAGCACCAACCTGCCTGATGGCTCAGTTTTCACTACCCTGTCCTTTGGTGTTAGTTTAAGTGTTGGGAAATTAACAGGCAAAGCCTCATGGTGGTGAATAGACTGAATAATTCAAGGAACAGCAGCGATGGCAATGGCTGCTGGTCCTGCTCTAGAGTGAGGTGGGGGTGAGAAAGGCTTGGATCCACCTTTCCTCAGCTGCCCTGTCCCCTTGCTCTGGACTGGACAGAGGCTCTGGAAGGCATTTCTACAGGCACCAGGCAGGGCTCAATCATTAACCTGCAGAAGGGTAAACAGTGAGAGTCCCCTGGAGCACAGTGTGCCTTTCCCGACATAAAGCTATCAGAGCAAGGCAACCACAGCAAATCAGCTCTCTCCTAGGATGGAAGACCACCCGAGTGAGGCCTGTGAAAAACCCCAGCGGCCTCCACATGGAGACTGGGGTCTAGACGCTGGAAGGAGCATGTAGCCAGGGATCACTCACCTCCTGGGCAGGGTCTGCCCACAGCCCAAACCTCTCGGCAATCATCTGGTGAATCTCCCGCTGGCGATCTTTCTTGCGCACACTCTCATAGCTAGGCAGGCGTGGCTGGTCCCAGGCAGGGAGCTGGTAGCTGCTGGGGGATCCCACGCAGAACAGCTCGTCACCCTAGAGACCCCCGAGGGGATAGAAAGGTCCCGTTGCTAGTCGGATCAGTCAGTGCCCCTTAGCCCAGGGCTGCACCTCGGGACACCGCTGCTGTAACTAGCACCCAGAGAGACAGGGATGCCCTGTGCCCAAGGCATCCCCACCAGTGCCCCATCACAATGGCTCCTGAGTGCTCTGTGTCTTCAGAGCCATGGCCAGGGTGGTTCTCTCCCAAAGTCATTTACTGCAATATAACAGTCCTCCCCACAGCCCTGCAGCTAGGGACACTGCCACATCCAAGCCCCTCCCCACATCTCAGGACCCCAGACCCAAAGTACTTCCCCACATGAAGCCCCCACAGCAGCCTTGGCCTCACTCACGGTGCTCCCAGTCCCTCACCTGCACCCCGGGATTCTCCACGGCACTCTCCAGCCGCTGGGCACCACACTGGGGTCCCACCAGCCGCTGGTTGCTGTTGAAGTATGAAGGCGGGTAGTCCTGTCAGGAGAGGCAAGGGAAGAGAGAATGAAGCCTGTGTGAAAGCCCATCTCCAGCTCCCAAGGCACGTGAACAGGTTAGCGCATGGTGTGGTGCAGGCAGCCTCCCTGGGGCAATGCCCCGACCTGGAACCTTCCCCGAGATGCCCCAGGCCTGGTGGGACAGAGGCCACCATCAGCAGCTGGAAACGGTCCTGCTTGGTACCTTGCGGGCCCTCAGTGAAAGGCAGCACTGCTCTGAGTCCAGCCCTTCTGGCTCTCCTGCCCAGCTCAGAGCACAGCCCAGCACACACAGCTCTCAGGCCAGGCCAGCTCAGACTGTCCACAGGGAAGGGAAAGGCCAATTCCTTGTTTGTCTCTCCCATGGCTGGGGTTTGGCCTCTCCTGCGCTCCCCCCACCTCTGCCAACCCAGCAATGCTGGCAACCCACCACCCTTCTGAGGAGGGGAGGTTTGTTCCCTAGAGGTTTCCCATGGACAGGGTAGATCTGTCTTTCAAAGCTAGCATCTGCTCTGCATCAACCTTAGAGGTCCCCAAGATGCTGCCAAAAGCCCCTATCTCCAGTACCTCCGTGTGCTCTATGTGCAGGCAAAACTCTCCTAGCAGCAGTGCAGCCACATGGCAAAGCTGTGCTTTGGCCCAGTACAGTAAATCCACCCCCCCAGGGCTGAACAAGCTACACCCAAAAAAGCAGAACATTGCTAGTGTCCCTGCTTCCCCCTGCCCATGGCTCTGCCCAGTGGGGTCATACCTCCTCCCCCTCGCCCCCAGTAGACAGCTATGTCAATGCACACTGGTGATGTAGCCCTGATTTACAAGTGGGTTGCTTATGTCCTCAGCCAGGCATTTCCTAGCCATTCCCAGCTGCACCTTCTGCTGCTAGACAGGACACAGGGTGAATGAGCTGAGTGGAGACTTCAGTCTCACCGAGCTCCCTTAGCTGCTCAATCCCCGTGCAGTGATAAGAGCAGTTTAGCCATTTCCCCAGGGCTGCCCAGCTATTAACAGCTCATGTGCAGGGGGAAGCTGCTCCTGGCAGAGGGACCTGAAAGGGCAAGAGCTATTCTGGGGTAGCAATTCTGTGTGTACATGATCCCACTGCCAGGAGCACGGAGCTCTTATTGTGGAAGAAGCACATTCACCCAGAGCTGTTCTGCATTTACACCAGGCCTCAGCCTCAGAGCCGGGAACGGGGTTGTGGGAACTTTCTTGTTCCTGGGTCTCCCAGCAGGAACAACCACTGCCCCACAGTCTGTGTAAGAAAAGGCCGGGGTAGACTAGAGGCACATGGGAGGAATATGGAATCACTCAAGCTCCTGTAAGCATTAATGTTTAGGTGATTTTCCAGCACCCATAGCCCCCTTAGCTCTGTGCAAGCGGCTGCAGCTTTGCCCATGTGCTGGATGGGCTTCCTGCGCCCCAGGGACTTCCAAGCCAATCCTGGCCCCTTACAGCAAACGTGCTCTTTGCCTCTAATTGGGGCTCTGCAGGCTCAGCCTGGGTCTGAAACGTGACCCGCAAAGCAAGGATTTCCTGGTGCACTTAATTGTCCATAATTGCCCGCGCAATTACAGAGCTCATGTGCAGCAGTGTGGGGCTTCCACGTGCCACTTGTTTTAACCCGCTTCATGAAGCCACAGCAGGTCCCACTGTGGATGCAGTTATGCTGGTGACAAGCTGCCTCTCCCCTCCAATATTTCCCATCCTGCATGGCAAGGAGTTAGAGCCACATAAGGCCCCTTGAAGGCTGTGTTCGTTTTGTGGGGTGGGAGCAAAAGGGGCTGCCCTGTAGTGCTGTGCATGCAAAGAGGGCCACAGTGCACCCCTGCATCTCCCAGTGCTGCACGTCTCAGTCCCTGGCTTCCCCTGTGGGGGCAGAGACTCTGTTTGGAGGTTGTTACGCTTCATGGCTCCATGTGATCGGTGCTGAATTCTGCAGCTGCAGAACCAGAGAGAAGGGGCAGCCAGGTCTGGCGCAAGCCAGCACAGAACCAGGACCCCTCTCCCAAAACAGATCCAGTAGATTACTCACCCATCCCCTGCCAAGCAGCCCAGCTCCCATCTGGTTGTGAGCATCTCAGCCAAGGGGCTCCCATCACCATCACTTCCTTTGGGAAACTAGAACCCAGCTTAATAAAGCCCAGGGGCCAGACCCACAGGCGTCGCTCAGCAGCAAACCTTCACCGGGTGACTGCTGCTGGATCCACTTGGGGACCCACTGCCCGCAGGCAGCAGGAGGTAGGTTTGCTGGGAAGCCCTGGCTGCTCTCCTACGTGAGGACACTAGGAACGGTGGAGATGGGGAAGGCGAACCGCTCTGGGCTGGGGAGTCTCGTGCGGGGAAAGGCAGCAAAGCAGCCCCTGCTCTCTGCCCGAGCTGCTCAGGGAGAGTCAGAGATGGGCCTCACTGAATAAAGAAAGTAGCAGCTATTCAGGCCAGAGCCAGTTACATCTTGACAGAGTTTTCCTGCCCCCTTGCCCCTTCCCCAGAGCCCCCACTGCTGTCTGCTTTGGAGGCAAGATCTCTAGGGCAGGGATCACTCCTGCAGGGGGGATGGATGAGGAAGCTGCTCTTCGCTGCCACCGGCTTCCCCCATCTGCAGCTTCCCCCTCACACCAAGCCATGTTGGGGGGAGGAGGGGTTCAGCTTTCTCCGCTCCAGCCTCAGTGCTGTGCACAACACCGAGCCAGTTGCTGGGCGACCGGCGACTAAGAGTGGCATTGTCTGTGCTGCACGGTAACCTCTCCTGCTGTGCCCCTTCCCTGAAAGACAAGGGCTCTGAGCATGGCATGAAAGGGAGGGAGGGACCCGGCTCCCAGGTGGGACTCGGCTGTTACCAGGGATGTGAATATCCGGGAGCTGGCTCCTACTTTGAGGATGTCTCCCAGCGTGGGCAGACAGGTTCTGGAGACAGCCTGAGTGCTAAGTGGAGAGGCTAGGGATCTCTCTGGCAAGACAGGGTGGTGAATCGAGCCAATTCCCTCTGGTGGGGCTGCAAAATGAGGCTGCTCCATCCCAGCCAGAAGATCTGGCCGCGCTGGGGTTTAACCCCAGCAGGGTCTCCTGAGCTGTAATCCCTCCCCAGCAAGTCCATCGTGAAGGCCCGAGGGCCTGTGCCGAGCAAGGGTGAGGCTGCTGGGGTGGCCGGGGAGGGGGTGGGATACTCACACACTGGCTGGGACTCTGGAAGAAGCGGCAGGAGCAGAGGAACTGGCAGCACAGGGGGTCCCGGTGGTACAAGAGCAGCAGCAGCACCAGAACGGCCACTATGAACACGGACGTAGAGACCGCTGCCAAGGCAAGAGACAGGGAAGCAGGCTGAGCCCAGGGCACGGCAGCGCACCGCCAGGCAGAGCTGCCTCTTCTCTGCGGGGGGGTCGGGCGCAGAAGCATCTCCAGACAATTCCCTCCCCCCACTTTCTCCTTTCCATTTCCATCCTGCAGCCCTGGCATCCCCTCGGCTTGACTAGGGAGGTCCAACCGATGACTCCATACTGGTACTGACCCCCTGTCCAAACAGGCCCTCTATAGGACCAGGGCCTGGCATGGATCTCCTGCTCAGGATCCCAGAGCATGTCCCCAGTGCCCACCCACCCACAACCCATGGGAGGTGGTGGCGGGGGGGTCTCACACTCCACTCAACTCCGCACGAGTGCTGCAAAGCCGAGGAGAGGGGGAGAGTCAGGAGTCTGGAGCCAGGTGCCCTGCTCTGCCCCTGCAGCTCTCTCCTCTCGCCTGCCTGCAGCCCGGTGAAGGCCAGAGGGGACACCTTGCATCAATAACAGGGAACAAAGAGGGCAAATAGTGACACATCAGGCACCAGCCAGGCAGCATCTGTGCAAAGTGGCTCTGCATTTCCCTGCTGTATCACTGAACCCTAGTGCGAGGAGCAGCCCATGTCTCTAGCTACTTCTGACTGATTCATCTCGTGGCCTCAGACAAGCCGCAGCTTCTTGGCCTCAGTTTCTCCTTCTGGCAGTGCCGAGGAAGCTACTTATTTACTTTGCAAAGGGGCCGTGAAGTTTAGCACACGATAGCCGTGCTTGGAGAGCCCCTTTGACTCTTCCGGCACACGGTGAGAAGGCCCAGCTATGAAGCCGCTTTAGGCATTTGCCAGTGTAGCAGAAGAGACGCAGGCCCTGGGATCGGACTCGGTGGGCAAGTAAAGGGGCAGCTTATTTTCAGATAACCTCCAGCACCTGTAAGCCACCTCACCTGAGCCTGCAAGGAGAGGCCAGTCAGGCTTTGGGATTGCCAGCAGATCCACTGAATCCCTTCAGCTTGCACATACCGGATCAGAGATCCGATATGGGACCAGATCTTACGCATACCAGATCAGAGACCCCATACGGGACCAGATCGCAGGCTGGCAGAACAAGCATCTCGCCTTCAGCCCCTGGCGCTGGAGCCTGCAGGGAAGGTACCACTCGGCAGGAGGAAATTTCCCTTCCCCTCTATGGCAGCAGGCAGTGGAGGTGGCTAGAAGGACCCACACAAAACACACGCAGGGGCCGAAGACGGGCTCTGATGAAGCCAGCAGAGACCTGGCTCGCCTACGCCAGTCCTGTTCCCAGGAAAGCGGGGGGCTCGTCCCGATCGCAGGCTTGGCACAGCACAGAACACGTGTTCGAGCAGCACTTGTGCCAGACGGAGCGCCCCCCTCCCCCCCGCTGCTGAGGGCAGGACGAGGAGGGCGGGGAGCACAGGGGGAGGCTGGCAAGGGGGTGGCGCAGCGGGGGGCAGGGCGGTTTGAGCGCCGGGGTGTCCGCGGGCGGCTGCGACCCCCACCGCGCGCTCAGACAGACACGGGACTCACTTGCGGCGATGACGATGGCCACCACATTGCTGTCCATGGAGCTGCTGGCAGTGGGAGCCTGTGTGGGGACATCGCTGGGCTGGGTCATCTCGGGTGTCGCTGGGTCCCCGCGCCTTCCTCCGAGCCGCCTCGGGGCGGACCAGGCACCGGCACAGAGCAACCGGGCAAGCCCCTGTCGGCTGAGCCCGGGGCAAAGCCCCGCTCCGGATCCGGCCCGGCTTCCCCACAGCGCTCAGCTGTCGCCTGCTCGCTCCGGCACCGCAGCCTCCATCCGGCCGCCTCGCCTCCTCTGCCAAGGGCGCCGGCTCCTCTCCTGCCCCCTTGCCCTGCCCGGTGCCTGCTGCTGGCTGCCAGCCGAGTCTTCCCGGGGGCCGGAGCTGGGTCCACGGGGCTCCCAAACCTCCTGCTCCGCGGGTCTCTGCGACCGCTTCTCTCCCGCCGAGGAACCGCGATCCCCGCGTGCCTCCCTCCCCCAGGCTTCCTCTGCCTCGGCGCCGGCGGTCCCCGCCGCTCCCGGCCCGGCCCGGCCCGGCC